AGATCAAATTTAGTTGTTCCACTAGGTTAATAGTTCAGTTAAAGCCTACGTGGCAGTCATAACTAGTACCTGAATAAGATTAAATTGTCACTGAAGTGCAGTCCGCATGGAAAGATTCTTTTTCCAGAAGTAGAATTGACCGCAAGCAGTTCAGCCATGGTATCAACACCAACCCAAATCTATCACCAGCTAGTAGAGTGCCCATATGGAAGGCAAAGATATCAAAAACAGCATGGGAGAATGAACCTCATACCAGAATGTCTGACTCCCACTGAGGCAAACTTTGGAAACCCATGATGTTAGAATTTCAGTCCCCCACCAGTTTGTCAATGATGTCTATATAAGTAAGTTAGCTGTTTGTATGATGGGATGAATGACTATGCAACAGGTGAGTGATAGATGCATGATAGGTAATACCATTATGACAGCTGGGAAGGGGAAGAAAATGCTTCTGTAGAAATCTGTTTTTATAGGCTGCACTCCTCAGCATAAAGAAGAAGGGCAAGCTTTGAATGAGAAAAATAGATAGGTTAGTGAGTGCCCCACAGACCCCACTCTCAGTAATGATCCCCACAGGTTCCAGACTCAATTAATGGTACAAATTGGATTTTACTGAACAGAGTCCCTCTGACCTTCTTCCAGTCTACTGACAGGCTTGATTAACAGTCACTAGCCTCAAGTCCCATTTGTGGCCCTGTGGGCAGGCCCAGTCCATGGTTTGTTTGGAAAAAAAATCCAGAGTTCCAGCTTGAACAGTTCAGGGAAAACTATCTCATAGGTACCCTCCACACCTCCTCCTGGAGGCACTGCTGATGTTCCTTCTGGCACTTGTGCCACCATTGCCTTCTCTAGATTAGGGTAGAGTGGCCTGTTGGTGGCCGCTGCCTCTAACAACTAGAGGCTGGGCCATGGCTAGCAAAATATGAACTTAAAGCCCCTGCCACAGCCACTTTGTTGGGGAAGCCAAGTTTGAAATAGTACCCCAGTCCAGGGATTTCAATGTAGGTGTAATCATAGACCTCTTGTTAAAGCAAGGCAGACCTGAGCTCTTCTACAGCATCTCCTCATGCCCCTTTGTTCTCCAATCCATCAGGGCTAAATTCCATGTGCTCACTTCTGACAGTCATGCCTCTTTCTCCCTCTCCTTGGCCTTCCTCCATGTTTATTCTTTCCAGCTGGGTCCAAAGACCCACCCCTTTCTCCTCCAAGTGCCTCTCATTCACTAGCTTCTCCTCCCTACCCTGGGCTGGCCAAGTGGCCTCTGTGCCCACGGGAGGCCCAGCAGAAGCTGTCTCCAACAAGCCTCAAGGGGGCATGGGGTGATATCAGGTGGCTGTCATTTCAACTCTTTGCATTTAATTTTTCATAAAAAATAAACACATTTTATTATCAAACCAAACTCTTTGTTTTCTAGTAGCAATTATTGCATGAATACCCACAATGGCTGCTTGGTCATAACTGAAATGAGTGAGGAAAAGAAAATAAAGAAAAATAAACCTTATCAAAGATTCTCAGTTTAGGCATTGGTGGTGGCAGTATTATCTAGGTATCTGACTTCTGACAAAAGGCTTAAATAAAGATCTTCCACAAACTGAAGAACAGATGGAAGAAGGGGCTCAAAGGTTTTGAGACAACTGTATGCAAAAGAAGACTCCTCATGATATGGTCCTCCACTTGGAACAGTTAAAGTTTTGAAATTATTTCTTTCAGTGTGATACAGGCTCAAAGGTTTAAATGACAAAGAGGAAAAATTGCTTCTTTGCTGTATCCGGGATCATAACTAAAAAAAATGTTGTGGCCAATACCGGAGTCTTAAGATCTATTATCTCGTATCAATTTTTGTGTATAACCTCACATATTGCACTGTAATATGCATTTTGCCTTGATTTTTTTCAATAATACAAAGTGTGAGATAAAAGAAAGTACTTCCTAGTCTATATGCTAGCTCATGGAAAGTGAAGAATGATGGAGCTGAATGGGCAACAGGCCTCTTCATACCCTTCTTTACCAAGCTGAATTAATATGACTGTTGTAATGTAGTCCATGAGAAACTACTGTTTGTTCAGAAAATAAATTAGGATGACTCATGGATGCTCTCTTGAGGAAACCTGGGATATAAAGTAACAACTAATGTACTTATTATTACAAATTCTATATTAGAAAGTATCAACTAGCACTGCATGATATAAATACATCACCAACATTATGTATCATTATGTCAGAGAACGTTTTAGTCATGTGTCAAAACAGTACTTCCAAGAAACCAGTAAGAAATGTGTCCTCGAAGGCTTTCACAGCCGGGATCTGATGGATGTTGTGGATTTTTCCGGCGGTTTGGCGGAGTTCTGGAGATTTTTCTTCCTAACATTTCACCAGTCTCAATGGCCAGCATCTACAAAGGACAGGAACTAAAACTCTGTGTTCTGGTGTAGCGTGTGGGATTGTTGAGTATTTGTAGCTGTGGAATCAGATTTTTTGTTCTTTTCAGGAGATTAGGTGATTATAGTGCTCAGGATGTTTTTTGTTACGGGTGCATTGTTGTGATAAGGGGGGGAGATTATCTGTCACTGTGATTGATGGGCGTTAGCAAGTCTTTTGTGTGCAATGATCACTGGGCCATGTGGCCGGGTAGAGTTTGTTGACCTTTTGCAGGCTGTATTTTTCAGTGCTGGGAGCCAGGCTTTGTTGAGTTTCAGACTTTCTTCTTTTTTGCTGAGGCTCTGCTGGTGTTTGTGGATTTCAATGGCTCCCTTGTGCAGTCTAACATAATGATTGCTGGTGTTGTCCACTACTTCTGTGTTTTAAAATAGAATTTCATGTCCAGCTTGTTTCAGGACATGTTGAGCTCCTGCCAATTTTTCCCGTTATTTTAGTCTGCAGTGTCTTTCATGTTCTTTGATTCTGGTGTGGATGCTGTGTTTTGTGGTTCCAATATATATCTGGCCACAACTGCAAGGTATCCGGTATACTCTTGCAGTGGTGAGGGGGTCCCTCTGTCCTTTGCTGACTGTTAACATTTGTAGTATTTTTGTGGTGGGCCTGAATACTGTTTGTAGGTTGTGTTTTTTCAAAAGTTTCCCCATGCAGTCCGTGACTCCTTTCATGTATGGCAGAAATACTTTTAACCCTAATCCTGTCATTTATCGGTACCTTGGTGAATAGGAATACTACATCAAAGCTGATCAGTCTGTCCCTGAGGTTGAGTTTTATGGTACTGATCTTGTTTATGAAATGTCCTAAGTCTTTGATGTAGGATGACTGATCACCTTTGACGTAGTATCCCTATTCACCAAGGTAGTAATAAAGGACACTCTGACACTCATCAAGCAGATCTTTCCAGAAGACATGAAGGCCCTTTTCCAACACTGCCTAATGGCCAGCTACTTTTTGTTAAGTATTTGTAGCTATGGGATCAGGGTTTTTTCTCTTTTTTTGGGACACTGGGTGTCTCTGTGATCAGGGTGTTTTTTGTTATGGGTGTTTTGCTGTGATAAGGGGGAAATTATCTGTCAATGTGATTGATGGGTGTCGTAGGACAGGAAAGACAATGCAGACTAAAACAACTGGAAAAATCGGCAGGAGCTGAACATGCCCTCAAACAAGCTGAACATGAAATTCTATTTCAAAACACAGAAGTAGTGGACAACAGCAGTAATCATTATGTTAGAGCCATTGAAATCCAAACACCAGCCCAGCTTCAACAAAACAGAAGGTATAAAAATCAACAAGGCCTGGCTCCCAGCACTGAAAAATACAGCCTGCAAAAAGGTCAATTAACTCTACCCCGCCACAAGGCCCAGTGATCACTGCACACAAAAGATTAGCTAATGACACCCATTAATCACAGTGACAGATCATCTCCCCCCTTATCATAGCATAAAACCCGCAACAAAAACACCCTGATCACAGAAATCATCAAATCTCCTGAAAGAAAAAAAACCTGATTCCACAGCTACAAATATTCAACAATCCCATGCACAACACCTGAACACAGAGTTCTAGCTCCTGTCCTCTGTAGATGCCCGTCACGGAGACTGGTGAAACACTAGAAAGAAAAACCTCCAGAACTTGGCCAAACAGCCCAAAAAACCCACAGAAAGCAACCGGTAAGAAACTTGGAAAATTTGTTATTGCATCTCCTATACATTATATTTTAATTCACAATGGCTGGAATCCTGCTGGCACAACTCCATGTGCACAAGGCTAATGACGTTATCAGCCATAGCCTTTCAAATATAATTAAACATTTCCATCCTGGTTCAGAGGCTGCCTACAGATTTCTTTCAATCTGGGGAAACCTCCGGTGACCTGGGACCCTTGGGACAAGGAGGGATGTCTTTAATGTCCAAAAATCATTGCTGTCTTAAATGACTGTTACATCTTCAATTCTAGTAAATATATTAGCATAGTGCTCCATCATGGTTAGTGTAGATGGCAGTGACGTGTGACAACTCCAGAAGTGGGAGAAAGAGAGAGACTCCTCCATGCAATTCCAATAAACCCATACAGGTTTGCCCAACCAGGCTTCCAGCAGAGGATTAATTAAACCCTATACTAACACAAAGTACTAATAACCTAAAGCCATAAAAATACAGATTTAATGCCCAGAGCTCAAGTTTATGTATCCATCAAGAACATGCTTGACACTAGAAACACATGCAGATCTCTAAATCAGAAAACTCCACATCATTTTCATTCACAATCACCAACATAAGGTACATTCCACATAGGCACTGAGAAAGCAAAATATATGTATTATTCCTACATATAAAATCAACAGATTGTATCTTTAGTACAGTCCTTAACAAAGCATAATTTACTATAGAGAATTATTTAGGAAAGGACAACATCATTGTTAACAAATCTTACCTTGTAAAGATCTCATAGAACTGCTTCAGTTTCCTAGGAAACACAGGTTTCCCATGAACAACAGGGAGTCAGAAAACATAGCCATGCCAGGATCCAAAAAAAAAAAAACCCCACAGAAATTAAAAACTCACCATTTCAATGGCGTGCCTTCACTTTCAAACCATATTTCCCCAATGTCCTCTCGTCTCATAACTTTCTGAAAATGTTTTTTCACTTTGTCTGTTACAAGTGTCAGGTAGCTTATTCTAGGTAAAAGCAGCTGAAATAAAAAGTTTGGAAAAAAGTAAACTATGTTGTAGAGACTTTGCACTTTCATATATGATTTACAATGTGTGTAAAAAACTTTGAAGTCAAAATATTAATCAGTTTTAAAATGTAAAATAATCACATTCTTCAGAAAGCCACTACAGGCTGCTGCTGATACATTGCATTTAATACCACATCCAAGATCTATAAGGTTGCTGTACTTGCTATTTATAAATGTTTTATAATATTTAGATTGTATCATGCATTATCTACACATTCCAAACTATACAATGTGCATTTCTGTAATAAAAAGTCTTCTAGCTTTCACTACCTATTGCCTTCTCATGATACAGAGAATACTTTCATAAAAAGTCTGACTTACATGACAAAAATCTTACTACCCTGTCAAACCCATAAACAGTCATTGCACACCAATAACCCAAGCCTATTTATGTTTTCTTGCAAGAGACGCAGCTCATGGTGGCTCCTGAGGGCAGAAAAGTTACCCTGGACCTCGTCAACCCCTGTGTTAGAGGGAGTGCTTATCATTTTAGGTTGCAACTATTTTGTGGGGAGAAGGGGAACTAGCTTAATTCAGCAGCAACAAAGAACGTACAGTGGTACCTCGCAAGACAATCACCCCGCAAAATGACAAATCCGCATGACGACAAGGTTTTGCAATCGCCACTGCGCTTTGCAAAACATTGTTTCCTATGGGCGATTTGTGCTGGACAATGTTTCGGTCCGTGCTTCACAAGACATTTTTTTTCCAGGACCGATGCCTCGCAAGACAACAATTTTTTACAGCTGATCGGCGGCTCCGCAAAATGGCTTCCCTATGGGCGATTTTTGCAAAACGGGTGTTTTCGGGACCGATGCTTCACAAGACAGTGATTTCTACAGCTGATCGGCGCTTCGCAAAATGGCTTCCCTATGAGCGATTTTCGCAAAACGACAACAATTTTCCCCATTGAAATGCATTGAATGGATTTCAATGCATTCCAATAGGGAAACGCTTTTCGCAAGACAATATTTTCACTAAACAGTGATTTCAATGGAATGGAATATCGTCTTGCGGGGCACCACTGTAATAGATACAGAAAGGAGAGATGTTTATGGCACAACACCTTAACTGGTTGTTGTGGGTTTTTCGGGCTCTTTGGACATGTTCTGAAGGTTGTTCTTCCTGACGTTTCACCAGTCTCTGTGGCCGGCATCGTCAGAGGACTGGAGTAGGAACTCTGTTTGGACAGAGCATGGACAGAATTCTTACTCCAGTTCTCTGAAGATGCCGGCCACAGAGACTGGCAAAATGTCAGGAAGAACAACCTTCAGAACACGGCCAAAGAGCCTGAAAAACCCACAACAACATTAGATCCTGGCCGTGAAAGCCTTCGTGAATACATTGAGCACCTTAACTGTTTAGCTGTAAGATGTGGTGGGGAGAGGTCTAACTCTTCAATTCTGAATGAGACATTAGGCTATACCTGGAGATAACTACTCCTACTATCACCTGGTGAGGCCCCAGGTCTTCGCCTGCAAGGCTTAATGAAGAGATGTGTTCCCTCAAAACCTTCCATAGTGATCCAAGCTTCTGTATATACATTGTGCCTATTGTTTTGTCTAATAGATGTATTGCCTCAGTATGTATTTTAATATTTATTCTGTGCCAACATGGCCATCCCTGCTTTTACGAAGAAATAAGCATGCACATAATTTGTACTTCAAACCACCCATCAGATTACACATTAAGAAGAGCATGGAAATGCCAAAGGAAGAGCTTTTTTCCCCTGTAATAAACTCTTTCAGCAGTTATTTATTTTATTTATTTATTTGATTTTTACCCTGCCTCTCATCTACTCGGGGCGCCTTACATAGTTATTTGCTTGTCAAACATTTGCTACCTTTTTCCTTGGGAAAGAAAGAATATCAAATTATGGTGAGTCAGTTGCCCCTTCCATGCCACAAACTATAGCATAAGGTTTTGTTTTAGTGGAGAGGGGCACTGAGACAGAACAACTGAAGCCTGACAGTCTCTCATTGACAGAAATTAATGTTAATTGCTCTGATAAGGAATAGTGACTCCATTATTTCCATCACTGTAAAGACCGTCTATATGATGACAGAAAGGACTTATAACTATGCGTAAAAGGCGAACATGCAGCACAAAACATTCCTCACATACGGCCACAATTAACATAAAATTATCAATTGTATTACTCTGCATGCATTTAGAACACTTACATAGTATGGTTCAGCTTCCCTTTCAGTAATTTCATCTTGATATAGAGTAAAACAGGCTGGTATTCGCCCAAACCACACATATCTAAGCACATCTTTGTCATCTGTCATTCTTCCAGGAAGTACAGAAACACATGTAGGCTAAACAATTTGCTCAAATGAACCACTATAAGAGAGAGAGAGAGAGAGAGAGAGAGAATCAATCATAGGACCCACAAGATGACATCAATCATAATACCTCTTCACAAGACACCATAATGGGGATGTTGCTTTTGTCTACAGAGAAAGGGTTGTCTGAAAAATTTTAGACATAGTCCTGTATCTACACATGGAAACCCTTCTCAAAAATGATGATATACAGTATCACTAGACAACATAGCCTGAGCACTGAACAGAAAATAAACTTGTTATTTGATAATCTTTACCATGTTCCCTCTAATTTTCCACCAGTGTTGGGCGGCAGTCTGGCCATGACCAGGTGGCAACACTGGCTGCATGTGTGTGGCACCAAGGCAACACTGCATGGCTACTCACCAGCACAGTTTAGAGGGAATGCTGTTTCTAAACCTTTTATTTTGTGTTCTGTAGTGGGTTCTAGACCAATAAAGAGCTGCATACACAATAGTAATTCCACTCGGTTTACTACAAAAGAAAAGGTAGTACAAATTTCCTCCCAACTCCAAAATACTATGATTTTTCTGCCTTCCTATGCAGAAGAAGGGAAGACACCAAATTCTATGAAGATTTCTTTAAATCCTGTGTGGAAGAATCTTGTTGGCCATTCACCCAGTGCAAAAGCCTTCAGAGATTCCACTGAACCCTTTCCACCTCTCTCAAAACATTCTAGAAGGGTTAGCATGTTATGGCAAATGTCTTTTTAAGTCACATTGATTCACTTTCTGTAAATCCTGTTCTTTTCCATGTCTAACAACTGTAATTTTAATAATAATTTTTACCAGTTTATCTAGGACAGACAGTAAGGGCAGGAGCCTGCAATATCATATGGTAAAATCCAATGCCACACAAAATGCTTATATAATGGGAGTTTCTCCTTTTTTATCCCTCCTGCAGCCCCAGCCCTCCAGAAACATGTTCCAGAGGGTGCACATTTTTCAGCTATTCATCCAGCAACTGCAATTTGAACTAACCAAGACCAGTTATCAGGAACCTATCTTTTTGGTTATTGAGGACCTTCAGTAGCTCCTGATTTGTTTCAGAGCACAATCCCAACTGCTGATGCTTATCTCAGAAGCACTAGACAGATTGGGATCCACATATCTAAAACCATTTAATTAAGTCACTTGAGAAAATGGGGGCAACAAGTGGAAAGGGGGTTACTGCTGTGCAATTTGTCAAATTCTCTTCCACAACTCACTTGCACCTACACTACTAGTTTTTTGGTGCCAAGAGGAAACTTTATTTATTGTACTACACATTCAGATGCTTTAGATTTTGCTTTTAACTGTTTAGATAAAAGTAAAGGCTCCCCTTGACAATTGTCCAGTCATGTCCGACTCTAGGGGGCAGTGCTCATTCCCGTTTCCAATCCACAGAGCCAGTGTTTGTACAAAGAAAGTTTCCATGGTCACATGGCCAGCATGACTAGACACGGAACACTGTTACCTTCCCATAGTGGTGGTACCTATTTATCTACTTGCATTGACATGCTTTCAAACTGCTGGGTTGGCAGGAGCTGGGACAAGTGGTGGGAACTCACTCCATTGCATGGATTCAATCTTACAACTGCTGGTCTTCCGACCTAGCAGAACAGAGGCTTCAGAGGTTTAACCGGCAGAACCACCACATAACTATCTATGCTTACATACAGTGGTGCCTCGCTTAACAATCGTTTCATTAAACCACAAAACCGCTATATAATGACTGTTTTGCAATCGCTTTTGTGATTGCAAAACAATGTTTTAATAGGCAAAATTTGCTTCCCGATGATCAGTTCCCTGCTTTGGGAACCGATACTTCGCATTACGTTTTTAAAACAGCTGATCGGTGGCTTCAAAATGGCCACCCACTGTGTAAAATGGCTCCTCGCTGTGTTTTTGGACGGATTCCTCGCTATACAGGCACGAAAATGGCCGCCCCATGGAGGATCTTTGCTGGACTGTGAGTTTTTCAGCCCATTGGAACGCATTGAACGGGGTTTCAATGCGTTTCAATTGGATTTTTTATTTTCCTTAACGAGGATTTCGTTCTACAGCGATTTCGCTGGAGCGGATTATCCTCGTTAAGCGAGGCACCACTGTACTAACATAGAAAATGGTTAAAGAGCAATAGAAACATGGTTGAAAGAAAATAGATAAATTATTAATTTTAAAATGTAAGATTGTTTGTCATTTCTTCTCCCAAAACAATGATTCAAACATGAATAACTCTCCAATATTTTATACACTGAAAACAGATGGAAAATTCATTTTGCTTTTCTATCTGATCATCTGAAAGTCCAACACTCTTGCTGTTCCCCCCTCCCATGGATATAGATACATGCTTTTACATTTGGAATAAACTGTTCTTACCATTGCTTCCTACCTCAAATCTGAACTAACAGAAACATTTTGCAAGGTCTTACATCCCCTTTTCAATTTCCTACTTTAGTTAAGATTTCCACTTTTTAAAAATAAGGCTTTATTACTTTTATGGCTTCAATTATACTGACAACATGATGGGTTTATTCATTTCTATGCTAAATATTCCTATTACAATAATTTCAAACAGGCAAAAGTCTTGACAAGATCTGAGTTTCCTGACATTGTATGTCTTTTAAAATAACTTCCTTGATTTTCAAAAGCCACTGCACTTTCTCAGTGCTTCCCGTAGTTAATCTACCATAAACTTTTACATGGAACTTCAGTGTCAAATCTGCCTGAAAAAAGTGACATAAAATGAACTATTTTAAAAAATATTTTTAAAATAAATAATAGATAACACCACACAACTAAGCTTGTATTTATTTATTTATTTATTTATTTATTTATTTATTTATACATTACCCTGCTCCTCTAGACCATGTCTACTCGGGGCGGCTTACAACATAAAAATCAATATAAAATATATATAATCATTAAAAATACAGTTACTATATTAATTAAAACAATTAATTTAAGAAAAAAAATTACCAAGATGGGTAAGATAAGGAAAGAAGAAATAAAAAGACTTAGCTGACTGGAGGTGAGAGAAAGCCTTTTAAAAATGTATCAAAACAGAAAAAATGTATCAAAAAGAAAGCCTTTTAAAATCTATCAAAACTGCCTGCCACCACTAGGTGTTTGTATATCCAGTACAGTAATCTCAAAAGGCTACAAAGCATGGAATCAGCTATGAACATGAAGGTGGCCTAATGGAATGAGCTGCAAATCCCTAGTTCAGATCTCACTTTGGGCATGAACTCTGAATGTCAGTTTAGGAAAAACACACTCTCTCAGTTTCAGCCCCCTTCCTCCACTTGATAGAGAAGAGAGAACATGATTTTTTTAAAAGGATTACAACTAGAAAATGCACATTAAATATACTGAACATTCTTAAGACCTATACAGGATTTAAACCTGACCACTAAATGCAGACTTATCCCCTTTTTAAAATATCCTTTGAAGTCCAGGCTATCAAAGCTTCAAAACCAACTATTTTTGTTGACTCTGAACACAGAACTGGAATATGAAAAGAATGATGATGGAGCATTTGTGAACTAGTTAAGCTTTCCTCATAAATGAAAGAACTGGTGTCATAATAAAAAGTATCTGTAGACCCTGAATATAAACCACTTAGAATTTTTCCCTGTGTTACTCTGTTTCAACATTTACACCAGCAAGTGCAGTAGTTGTTTCAGAACGAAAGCAGATGTCCTGTACTCTGGCATGTTTATGACTAGCAGATTTAGTTCAGTGTGAGTTTCCACGGATTACAATACACTTCCTCTGAAACACAGCCCAAGACCTAGGCCGCAGGTTCAGCCTCCTATATTTGAAGAAGTGTTCCACAAAAGCTTATATTAAAACATAGCTATACAGGATTAAAGTACTGCAGTTTCTTTTTCTTTCTTGTCCTGTTTTGTTTTGCATTTCTTGTTGAAGGGTTTATATCTGCAGCATATATAGTGCCAGGAGTGCAGACTAAGTGAAATAGGAAACGGAGTGACATTTACGTGACAATGCATTGCTGAAAAAGTAGTGAACATTCAAAGCACTGATTACACTGTGTATACTTAATTGTTGTGAGTATATGTTTTCTGTGGCCTAAGTTATTATGCTCCATCTGTTGTGGAGGAAGCAAGCTACAATCCACAAAAACTCACACTGATGCCTTTTGGAGGGTTTTTTGTTTGTTTCTTGTGTTTTGGTTATACATGATTGTGTCAGTGGGATCAAAATGACATGATATACAAACATCACCAGGGAACATCACCACCATCACTACTGTCACCGTGAAAATAAATAAATAAACAAATCAAGGCTCCCCCCCCATTCCACCTCCCTTGCCTCTCCCGCCATCAGACATAGTAAGCTGCCCTCCGCGACAGCCAGCTCTTGCTCTCCCCCTCCGCCCTTCACTTCGGCTCCTGAGAAAGGAGCCGCCCCTCCTGTCCCCTCAACAAAGCTGCCGTTACCTGACCGTTTGTTTGCTTTCCCCAGCGCCTACTCGGTGCGCGCGTGCGGGAAACTCCCTCGCGCGCAAGTCAGCAACGCGCAAGCGCCATTGAAGCTCGGCTCCGCCCACCGGGGGGGTTCCCCTTTAAACTCCGCCGCCCGTTCTTATGGCCGGGGGTCCGCCTTCGCCCTCTCTTCCTCGGCTTGTTCTTCGGCGCTAATGAGAAAAAGCGGAAGGGAACGAGCCTGAAAGCGGGCTCAGCATTCCCACCGTTTCCAGCCGTTTTGGAACCCGGAAGTGGCGACAGGGAGTGGTAGAGGCGAGGGGATATGACGTCACGTCGAGGTCCCCTTTAAACAAAGTGCTCCACCTGTCGTCCAGGTACGCGGCGGCGTTGGCGTTATCACAATAGGGACCTTCCTTCAGGGGTCGGTAGAATTTCCATACCTATTTTGTAAATGTAAAGAAACTGTGCAAATAAAGTGTCATAAAACAATGGATGAAAACGTGTTGAAATATGGACAGGGTAAAATTACGGCTGCTGAACTGCGCAGTGCCTTGCGATCCAAAGACCCGGCATTACTGTACACCGTTTAATTGTGCAGCTGGTTACGCAGTTCGTGATGCGATTGTTGTATGATGCTCCTGAAGAACTCGGTCGTGAGTACTACAACTTCTTTGGCCCAATTTTCTGTACCACTTGTGCAATGCTGACTTACACAAACATAGATCCGGAACATCTAAAAAACAATGCATGCACATTTTAGCAATTTATAAAAATCCTCACATGAACTAGATCGTATACTCGTCGTCGTCGTTTAGTCGTTTATGCGTGTCCGACTCTTCATGACCCCATGGACCAGAGCGCGCCAGGCCCTCCTGTCTTCCACTGCCTCCCGGAGTTGTGTCAAATTCATGTTGGTTGCTTCGGTGACACTGTCCAACCATCTCATCCTCTGTCATCCCCTTCTCCTCTTGCCTTCACACTTTCCCAACATTAAGGTCTTTTCCAGGGAGTCCTCTCTTCTCATGAGATGGCCAAAGTATTGGAGCCTCAGCTTCAGGATCTGTCCTCCCAGTGAGCACTCAGGGTTGATTTCCTTTAGAATTGATAGGTTTGTTCTCCTTGCAGTCCAGGGGACTCTCAAGAGTCTCCTCCAGCACCACAATTCAAAGGCATCAATTCTTCGGCGGTCAGCTTTCTTTATGGTCCAGCTCTCACTTCCATACATTACTACAGGAAAAACCATAGCTTTGACTATTCGGACTTTTGTTGGCAAGGTGATATCTCTGCTTTTTAAGATGCTGTCAAGGTTTGTCATCGCTTTCCTCCCAAGAAGCAGGCATCTTTTAATTTCGTGGCTGCTGTCTCCATCTGCAGTGATTATGGAGCCCAAGAAAGTAAAACCTGTCACTGCCTCCATATTTTCCCCATCTATTTGCCAGGACATGATGGGACCAGTGGCTATGATCTTAGTTTTTTTGATGTTGAGTTTCAGATCGTTTTTTGCACTCTCCTCTTTCACCCTCATTACAAGGTTCTTTAGTTCCTCCTCACTTTGTGCCATCAGAGTGGTATCATCTGCATATCGGAGATTGTTGATATTTCTTCCGGCAATCTTAATTCCGGCTTGGGATTCCTCCAGTCCAGCCTTCCGCATGATGTATTCTGCATATAAGTTAAATAAGCAGGGTGACAATATACAGCCTTGTCGTACTCCTGTCCCAATTTTGAACCAATCCGTTGTTCTCCATAATCCAGCGTATGTTAGCAATTTGGTCTCTAGTTCCTCTGCCCCTTCGGAATCCCGCTTGTACTTCTGGGAGTTCTCGGTCCACATATTGATCGTATACAAGAAAGGGCCAAAACTCCAGTCTCCGGTGGTATCCTTTGTTGCAAGACTAGCATAGGGTGAGGGGAGGTGGCACGGAGATGCCTAAGCACAGTAAAATCATGTACTTGCCTTGTTTTCTATAGGCCTCTTCCTCAGACGTTTCTCCAAAGAAAATCCAGAAACTGGCTATTCTGTAAGTGAAGAATCTTTGATCTATAACTCGGATTGGCCAAAAGTAGCCTGTGAGTGTGATAGTTCAAAACATCTGGATGTTCAAAGGACCTCCAGCAGCCAGATCTATTCCAGTTTATCCATGTATTTGCACATACTAAATGCTGTACTATTACAAGGGTTGGTGCAGTTATAGAAAATGAGGGGGAATAAAACTGATTCATTGGCTCCCAACCATGCCTTTAACTGCTTTATGGGCGGTAAATAACCAATAGGGCTTTTTTTCCTGCTATAGTGATGGTTTAGTAAGCCCTATTTTTATCTGCTAACTTTCTTGCAATAACAGCATATGTTGGTTCAGAATTTAAGGGAGAATGTTTCCTTATAAACTGACAGGATTACAGTTATACTTTAGACTGTTTCGGACTATTTAATGAAAATTTCTTTTCTTGAATGAATAATTTTTTTCTTTTAAAGTGCTGAATCCAGAACCACATCTGGAAAATGCACCTCAGCTAATATTGTTCTAACATTCTAGAGGTTTTTAGAAGGCTAGCTGAAGAATTTAAAAAGTAGTGACCAGTCAATTTAAAACGTTAGTTAGTTAGTTAGTTAGTTAGTTAGTTAGTTAGTTAGTTAGTTAGTTAGTTAGTTAGTTAGTTAGTTAGTTAGTTAGTTAGTTAGTTAGTTAGAAGATTCTGCCTTTCTCCTAAGGATCCAAGCCAGCTTACAGTATTAAAAGAAACAAAGTTAAAAGCAAAGTATTAAACATATATCATATTAAAACTCACAAATAAGAGCAATATGAAAAGCACAAGTAAAACAACAGAATAAAATAGTCCCTTTTAAAATATCACCCGATCTAAGAATACTTGGAAGTTGCACAGAGTTGTTCTTGGAGAATGTCATGCAATTCCCATAGTTTCAAACTTGTTCTGATTGCAAAATGATGCATGTATTTCCATTTGAACTAAGGTTCAAATGGACACTTTTAAATCAGCACCTGGATTGAAGATTTTATTCTGTAAGGCCACAGACCAACTGACCCTGCATTTCCAAGTCCAAACAGAGAACCTGAGGTAGATTTCTTATACTTTGTTGTTTAGTCGTTAAGTGGTGTCCGACTCTTCGTGACCCCATGGACCAGAGCACGCCAGGCCCTCCTGTCTTCCATTGCTTCCTGGAGTTGGGTCAAATTCATGTTGCTAGCTTCAGTGATACTGTCCAACTATCTTATCCTCTTTCATCTGCTTCTCCTCTTGCGTTCACATTTTCCCAACATCAGGGTCTTTTCCAGGGAGTCTTCTCTTCTCATGAGATGCCCAAAGTATTGGAGCTTCAGGATCTGTCCTTCCAGTAAGCACTCAGGGTTGTTTTCTTTCAAAATGGATAGGTTTGTTTTCTTTGCAGTCAAGAGTCTCCTCCAGCACCACAATTCAAAAGCATCAATTATTTGGCAGTCAGCCTTCTTTATGGTCCAGCTCTCACTTCCATCCATTATTACTGGAAAAACCATAGCTTTGACTATGTGGACCTTTGTCGGCAAGGTGATGTCTCTGCTATTCTAAGATGCTGTCTAGGTTTGTCATTGCTTGCCTCCCAAGAAGGAGGCATCATTTAATTTCATGGCTGCTGTCACCATCTGGAGCCCAAGAAAGGAAAATCTGCTCCCATATCTTCCCCTTCTATTTGCCAGGAAGTGATGGGAGGTGAATTATACTTAATTCAGGACAAACCTAGCCTTGATCAAGGAATGGATCTGCCATAAACACTGCTGTGCACTTTTGCCAAGTACAGTGTTGTTGTTTTCTTCTTCACAGCATCACAGTAGGTTTATTCATGCTCCAACAAATGTATCAGTTAAACCTCTGCAACTAATGTGGTTGGTTTTGTGACCTATTTTGTGCTGAAAGGGGAGAAAATACAGCTTTACTCTTGCCATTCTTGCTATATAGCAACTGAACCTTCTGCGGATTAGTGGCATTCAACCCCAAATGTCAACTCTCTACATGTATTTGGTATGACCTCAAGTGATTTGGGGAAGAAAAATGCATCCGTGCTTATTATATGCCAGGTGAATGGTTTAAGATAACAACGAGCAATACTGTAGCTTTCTAAGAAATTGGAGTGTCCATACTGATAATAAACGTGGGAAATGCTCGAGGATTGGGACAGTCTGATTTGCATTTTTTCCGTTTGACCACATAATGCAGAATGAAACATGAATCAGCTCAGAGCCCTCTCCCCTCATCTGTAGTTTTAGGCTCCACTGCCAAAGCTCAAGAATGGAGAACAAATCTTCTCTCCATTGGTAAGAGATTTTTTTTTCTAAAATAAAAGATGAATAAAAGAGGATGAATAATAAAATCTTGTTTCCAGCTTCTTAGGTAGTCCCTTTTTAATACTGCCACCTGCAGGACTATAAATAGAGCTGCAAACAAGTCTGTCTTCTCCCTGTGTGGTCAGTTAATGCGAAGAGACCAGGGAATACCTGAATTCCCAGGGCAACTTCACAGTGAGTAAATGCAAGGGAGTGTGTGTTCCCCTCACTGTGTAGGCACACCCATAGCTGAGTATCTTGAAGTGCAACTCATTCTATAAATGTCCACTGGAAAGAAAGTTGAATGGAATTTTGCTCCTAGGTGAGTGGGTGTACATTTGTAGAGCTAATGTTTTTATTAGACATGTATCTTCATGCATAAATTACAAATGTTGAAAGATCTGCCTGCTGCTGGGCTATGATCTACTAGCCAGCTAACAGGCACTCTTTGGAGTCCTAACATCCAAATATCTGGCTTTTGCTAGATTTCTGATTGATCTCTAATTGAATATGTGGTTTTCCTAGATGTCTATATGTCCACTTAAAAATGACTTGAATGGAATTTAGACTTGCATAGCCCTAAAAGTCTATATTGTTCAAAGACTTGTAAGTGGTATCGAGTGTACAATTGGATTTGTATTGTTTAAAGGAACAAGTCATAACCACAGATAATGAAAAATGTAAACAACCAATCTAATTTTTTTTAAGAAATCAAAAAGCTCTTTGGGAAAAATCTAACCTATAGCAGGTTTGAATCAACAAGTATAGTTGCCCATATGTCATTAGAATGGAAGTACTGTATACTTGCATTGCTTTGTACATGCCAAATATAATTACGCATTCAAGGTGAGGTTCTGTGAGAATGATAGGCTTGGGTGGAGCCAAACACATTCTAGACAAACAGGTTCCCAATATAATAAATGAGAGATAACCTAGCACTACAGGAGGCAAGCTGAGTTAATAAAAGGAAAACATCTAGAAAAGAATGTACTAGAAGGAACAGTGTGCCACAGCTCAGACCAGATCCTCAGCTCAAACATCAGCTAGCAGCATAGCACAGACATGACACAGAAGACAAACACTGGGAAATAATGACTGTATTATTTAGCAGCAACAGAACCTGGTGAAAATAATGAGGAACTGTGAATTAAACTCCTGAATAATTTAATGAAATTAGCATGAAATAGATTTTCCATCCCCTTCTGTCCCCTAGAGCTTTTGCATCATCAGAGATAATATGTGGAGGGACTTGGAGACTCTTCTCAATAGTTTGGGGTAGAATAAACCAGTGGCTATTCGGGAGAGAGGGGAAAATTTCAACTCTGCCCTGAATCTTAAGAATACTGTACTCACAGAGGAACAGTATTTTAGGAGTTGATTGGGTGAAGTGATTTTCTAATCCTGACTTTAAAAATAAATATATCACCCTTCTCTTTGAGAACAGTCGTCAACAGTGCAGGGGAAATTTCTATAATATTCAAATAGAGGTTTTTTAAAAATCTGAAAACAAGAAACATCTAAGCTTTCCCTTTGTCCACTTATAAGAAAAAGACTTGATAGTGAGTAACAGCAAGGGCTATGAGGTCTCCCTAACAGTAACTAAGAAATGCTTCCTTGTACAAACTGAATTATGGGGCACATCTGATTTCTACCTTCTGATGTAAGGAAGGTAATAAAATACATGGGAATTGTAGTTGGAAGGGACTGTGGGTCATTTACTTGTCACCATCACTCATGTACAAAATTGGCCTCCACAATTAAGGGAATCCACACAAGAGTTTCAGAAGAGTTGGATGGCATTACTTTTCACTGTTGTTTTTAAGATCCACAATATACACCATGATTAGTCATCATCATTAATCACAGAGACCATAATTGCCTATGGTTCAAATATCATATTTCAAAGCTTAATTAAAGCAGCAAGAAAATCTGTAGCATGTGAATCTGCTTTGGGATTGCGTAATTAGATTCCTCAGTGTGTTTTGTTCAATTGTCACAAGTAAGTAGAAGGTTTGACTGGATAGTCATGGCCATGGTCATCAATGACATGAATTGGTGGGTATTTTCTTTCCTTTTCCTCTGTCTGTTTCCAGTTGAAACAGCTCTATTCCTACTTATGGTCTGCATTGGTGTGAGAATTGGTGGCCAAAGTGGGAGAATGTAACACTTGCTTTTTAAATGTTTTAATATTCTAACGGAATGAACTGACCTAGCATCCAGTCACTCCAGTGTCCCCAGGCCAGACCCAGCATGCATTTATTCACATCCAGGTAATATACAGTATTATCTGTCCAGGTAAATGAGGAAAGGCAGAAGTGGGAGAGAGTTGTTGATGTTTTATGACACTTGAAGAGGAAGGTCTCCACTTCCAGTCTGGAGAGTGTGAAACAAAATGCGGATCTCCAAATACACAAACATGAGCAATGTACAGAAGGAGCGGGAAGCACGCAGTGTAGATGGATACTACAATATCAGAAGTAAAAACAGATGATAATGTATAACAAATGGAGGTGCACTGAAAAGGAAAACTCTGCTAGGTACAGATTTCCACACTGTATTAAGAAGAGATTACATGTAGTGGAGAAAATACAGAGGAAATAAAAGGCGTGTTCAGCTGTTCTCTCTTGATTACTACCATGTGGAAGACATGGGTCCTCATTCTGGCCACACACATATTCGTGGAAAGTTGAAATAGGGAAACACACCCTTCTCTTTCAGCATGGGAATGGGGTCAAGGGATGAAAGGAACCAGTCCAGCAAATATTACTCAGCTTTTCAATTCATTGAATCACACTGATGTGAAAGGAATGAATAGAGCTTAAATCATACTACTACATTAAATCTAAGTAGGATATCGACCAGCTCAGTGGCTGAACAGCAAAACATAAAATAGTTTCTATTATAATTGGTAGAAATCCTGGTTTGGAAACACATAATCATAATGTCATCCAACCATCAGCTAAAGCACTGGAAGTTGCAGACAGTTTTTTCACACGTTAAATGAGCTGGAAGAATACTACCAGCACATCCTCCCTCTACTATCCAGAACTCTGAAGGTTAGTCTCTTGTCCCACTGAATATACCAATATTTGGTATATGGCTATTTGGCCATATTCTTGTCTTTTATTCCCCATCCTCTTTGGAGTGTCTTTGGGCATTCAGAAAATTTGAAAAAAGCCCAGTCCTGCTGAGAACTCTTTTGGAATAGAGAATCTTTTATTTAAAAAGAGAGAGGAAGAGAGAGATCTAGTGGTCTGTGCCACAAAAGTGCCATAAATGGGACACTGGTGGAATTCTTACAATTTAAACAAAACCCACTTACTGGATTACACTGGATTTTTCCTTCTGAGTAGATAAATATACAGTACATGGATTCACAATACTATACATGGATTCACAATCATACTGTAGTTTGAGGAAGTCATCAGCCATTTTCCAGTATTGTCTCTGATAAACTGTCTTCCTGAAAACAGAAAAAGATAAAAGCTTAGTAATAAGTCCCAGTTGTATGATTGAAACCACACTTAATTCTTTTCAATTTTATACTTAAAGAATAAATCTTCAGTTGAAAGGTTATCACAGAAAATTGTGACGTGCATAATAAAATTCCAAGTAATTCATCAGATTGATCTGGGTTTAAAATAATTTTATCTGTAGTACTATTGCACAAGTTGGGCAGAATGGTAATAACTGTGACCAAATTTTAGACAGTGTAGATACCACTCTTCATTAAGTAACATTTTTCCTTTCATATAGTTTTATTCTTATAAATTATTGCAGATGTATTTGATTTGGGAATTTTATAATGGATCTAGCACCACTAGGTGTCACAGTCTTTCTTCCACAACCACAGTTCTTCCCACATTAATAGATAATGCAGCCTCAATAACTGTTTGACATTATCTGGAAACAAAGTTGGGCAATACTTTTATTAAGTGGCTAAAACATCACAAACAAGCATACTTTTCAAGTTCTGCAGGACTCTTCATCAGGCTGGGCATTACAGGGGCAGGGTGGTCAGTGTGGAGAAGAAGCGTTGGGCAATACTTTTATTAAGTGGCTAAAGCATCACAAACAGGCATACTTATCAAGTTCTGCAGGACTGTTCATCAGGCTGGGCATTACAGGGGGCAGGGTGGTCAGTGTGGAGAAGAAGAAGCAACTTACTTCTTGATTTCAACCTAAAAGAGTTGTCCTAATGTGTGCTAAACTAAATTCTTTTTCTACTAAATTATTTCTTACATACCCTTTCAATACATTTATTAAGAGTTTTGGTGGTGGAAGACTAATGCAGAAGGATTTTTATGTACAATCAAGGCAATATACCAGTTTCAATATTAAAAAATTCAGCACAAAGAAGCACCTTGGGCAAGTTATATTTGTTTTAATTCCCCTAAAATGCTAATTTCAGCAGAACTATTCCAGAAGTCATTCCCTGAGAACCTCTGATCTCAGTACATTTCACTTTCCTGTAAAACAAGTCTCACAGATGAAGCTTTGGCCCTTGGAAAAGGCAAGATTTATGGATCCAATTATTACAATTCTTTCTATATATGGATATCCTCATTCAGAGAAAGACTAGCATTTTAGGATGGATGTGGAAGCTGACCCTAGGATTCCTTTCCCAGACTCTATTGTCAGATAGAGCAGGGGAGGGGGACCATTTTGTGGTAGTGGGCCAGATTCTCACCTCACCGACCTTATCTCAAATGACCCCAGGAGTTGTGGCCATCTTCCTGACACCACTAATTTCCTGTATGACGTTCTGGCAGGAGATTTTCCAGTTAGTACTTTGGTTAGGGAGCAAACTCCCACAAATTGGAGATGCTCAGCCAGGATTTCAAGTGACTTCAGGACTCAGTTGGCCTTTAAAAGAATGAACAAAACTGTGCAGCTTTACACTCTTGTGCAACTTATGTTATGCAAACCAGATGACAGTATCATCTGGCAACAGCAATATTTAATCTAAATTAATTGAAAGCTTCCTATCCCCTGGACAGACACACACTCTTTCAGAGTCTGAGGCTCCCAAGCTCCGTTTTTCCCCGAGGAAGCCTTTGGGAGCTTCAGGAGGGGGCAGAGCCTTTAATAATAAAATAAATATTTTTTTTAAAAAAAATGCATCAGCTCATCTCAGGATTTGAACCACTGCTGGCAATTTTTCAGTAATCAAAATCTCTCCCACCACCACCCCAACTTGAGGTTCCCAAAGTCTTCCCCAAGGCAAAAAAGCAGGGGTTTGATTGGGTTGTCATGTGAGCACCAACGTGCACGCAAGAGGGAGTGTGTATGTGGCCTCAGCATGATGCAGTGAGAGCTTCCGTGATGGGGCTTCAACACCTTGCTCCCCACCACCGAAAGTGGGAAAGGTCGGATGGCCATGCCGGCTCCTGTTCCCTTCTGAGGAGACAAGGTTGAGAGAAGAGGGGAGCAACTGGGAAGCCTTATTTGTTTGGACTTGGGCTCTTCGTGGACTAGAATTGGCCTACAGACCACGTGACCTCCATCCCTATTGTAAAAGAAAATCCAAAAAAAGAGAGAAAAGAACTGCAAAGCAAAACTTCTAATCTAAATTGCCTCTGTTCTTGTTCGCATGTTGAAACATGGTCTGGTGGTTCAGTGCTTACTTTTCAGGAGGAAATTTAGTGTAAATGATTCAAATGGTTCATGTTACTTTTGTTACTGTTTTTTAAAGAAACCTGCAAAATCGTTCTAGTTGTAAGAACATCATTTTTAACATACCCAATAACATTTTTTATTTTGTCTTACGTCCACAGATTTTGTTTCAATTGCATTGAAACTTTAACAAAAGAAATAAAGTTAAATCAACAACAAGATGGATTTGGGGCAGCATAGGCTTCTGGCTGAGAACAGTTACAACTGCTCCAACCAGTTGGGTCAGCCTTTGCAGATGCAGAGTTGCAGGGCAACATTGTATGCTGGATTCCAACTGCAGCTGGGGTTCATTCAGGCTCACCTGGTAGTGGGAAATAATGTTATTATCTATCAATTCAACTTCCTGCTACAGCTCATCAGTGCAGGTGTTTCATTATCACACCCTTAGGAATGCTTATTCTGGTTCCTCAGAAGATAAGGTTTGGATCTGGATTGGGGGGGGGGTACAACTGGGCTGGTGGAAGCGTACTTCTCATGCTCCCCATAGCAGCCCCACCAGCCCCTGCATAATGCAGCACAGAGAACCAGGGGGACCTGCTGAATCATATCATGCATAGGGGTGGAGAGTGGAGGGTCCAGCCCAAAGGGGTAGATGTACTTTTCATAAGTAGAACTATGTTCATGACTGATACTTGCCATTTCTCTTTCAGGGACTCCTTCCTTCCCACAAAGCATGATTCCCACAGAGAACCAGGGGGACCTGCTGAATCATATCATGCATAGGGGTGGAGAGTGGAGGGTCCAGCCCAAAGGGGTAGATGTACTTTTCATAAGTAGAACTATGTTCATGACTGATACTTGCCATTTCTCAATTTTCAGGGACTCCTTCCTTCCTACAAAGCATGATTCCACAGGGTGAAGTAACCTTTTCTGGATACTCAGAACGGTGTCGTGTACAGAGAGATGGACTAGAATTCAGGAGGCCTGGGTTCAGCTCCCTGCTCTGCATGGAAGCTCACAGGGGTTGTAGAAATAGTGAAATCATTCCTTGAATATTTTACTTCCCCTGAAAACCTTATTCAAGTTGCTATAAGTCAGTCCTGACTCGATGGCACATAACATAATACGGTATATCACAGAAGTAAGTACACCCCTTCACATTACATAAATATTTTCGAATATCTTTTCATGTGACAACACTGAAGAAATGACACTTGGCTACAATATAAAGCAGTGAGTATACAGATGGTGTAACAGTGTAAATGTGCTGTCCCCTCAAATAACGCAACATACAGCCATTAATGTCTAAACCGCTGGCAACAAAAGGGAGTACATGGACCTGAACTTCTGCTGAGGCTAGTGATATTTTACAAGCAAATTTATTTTATATCCTTTCCAGAGTGATCTGTTACCATGCAAACTGACTTCCTTCAAACACTATAGACAGTGCTCTTGATTTGACTTCAATTACCTGTTTATACATATTATTATATGCAGCTGCATTAGGTAGACTTGGGCGGATGATTTTTAACTAGTAATTTCACTAACATGGCAATTCAAGTACAGTAAAATTAATATGAATCTGGGTACTTTGACAGTGTCCTCACTGAAAGATAACAGTAATATCTTTTGACAATATCTGTCTTTTGGCAATGTCTCCACTGGAAAATAAAGATTGTAACTTATTAGAAAGAACCGTCTTTATTGGAATCTCCAGGTTTTTGCTCTATTTTGGAGTGCTAAAATCCTAATGTGTGCATTTCTTACTTGCCTTTTTTCACTAGGATTAGCAGACCCTTGTTTGTAAGTGATGAACATGATAAGCTTTGAAGCAGCTGTCTCCTCAGGTAAGCAGCCATTGGACATTCCACCCATTATCATCAGAGATACCCTGCCCACTAGTCCCCCACTCTACCTGGTTGTAGGCAAGGAGTAGAATAGATGAAGGAATAGGGACAGGGAACTGTGGGATAAGAGAATGGGAAGGCATAGCAAGTGCATATGCTCTTCCTGCCTCCTGGCATTTAAAAAGAGAGATAGAAAATCTAAGTGAGGACTTGGCAAATAACTTTCTGGTGCAATCTTTATTATATATATCTAGACTTGTATAGGTAGCTGGCCTATCACAGATAAATATTGTAACCAGACATTTTAACCAAATATCTAGACTTGTATAGGTAGCTGGCCTATCGCAGATAAATATATAAGCAGACATTTTAACCAAATAGCTATTAGAGATGGGTATGAATCAGAAAAATGATTATTCATTTTGATTTGTGATTTGTCCAGCTCAACAGATCACAAATTATGAATTTGCAATTTTTGTCCTGAAAAATTGATGAATCAATTCATTCATAAAAAGGCAAAATAAAAGGGCAAAATAGAAAGGGGTTTGAATCAGAAAAATGGGTATTCATTTTGATTTGTGAATTTTCCAGATCAACAGATCACAAATTATGAATTTGCAATTTTTATCCTGACAAATTGATGAAACAATTCTTGAATTTAAAACCCTATAATATGGCCCTCCAAGCACCTAGAGATTCAAAATTCTCAGGGAGGTTTAGGCGAACCCTCCTCTACAAGCCCTGCAAGACTGGTGAAGATTGGACTTCAGACATTCAAATTATACATCCACAGGGAGGGTCCCGCCAGGAAATTTCCACCCAGGGACCTAGAGAAACTGAAATCACAGAGAACCTTCTATTGACCCTCTTCTACAATCTCTCCCATTTTGGTGAAAATTGGGTTTCAGTCATCCAAATTATAAACCCACAAATTGCATCTCCCTCCCAGGAAAGTGTCCTTTAGCAGCTGGTTTGGGGAAACCCAATCTTCACCCAACTTGGCAAGATTGTAGAGTCAGTGGAAGAGTCAGAGGGAGCTTCCCTGCAATTTTGATGTTCCTAGGTGTCTTGGAGGGCATTTTATAGCCAAACAAATTGATGAATCCAAAATCACTAAAAGTTCATTGATTTGTTTTCATCAGGGGCATTGATTCATATGAATACGAATGGACAAATTATTTGTGCCTATCTCTAATAGCTATACTGACAGCCTGCTCAAGTGTACCCAGAACTTGGACAGGATCTCTTTTGGACTACAACTCCCAGAATACACTAGTCAGCATGGTCACTATAAGCTTTATTGTTGTAGCCCAGAAGTAAGACACATTCACTTTTAAAATGTAAGCACCACTGAATTTTCCAGGATTCACTCCTGTGGTCAGCATGTTTAGATTGGTCTGTGGTTTCCATTTCTTAACCCTTTAACAAATTTATGTTACAAACAGGAACTAATAAGTAATTCTCAGGTTTCACTGTGAAGCCTAACATGTAGGCCTTGCAGTGGTAAGTTAGTGCTCTAATTCTGGCAGTATTTATGTGACCAAATTATTCCGTAAGAGTTGACAGTCAAAAGCTTGCTTCAGACGCAGTTCAAACCTGTTTGGCTGCAACTGTAACAACAAAAATTGCTAGTGTTTTTAAACTGACTTCTTTTCAGCCACACCTAACAGCCGTTGGCCCAAAATATTTACTGTGTTAGTATGAGTTTTCGCTTTCATGTAATTTTAAAGAAATGGTAAAAATAAAATGTTCAATTGAACCATAGCCTGGTGAAAAAAAACTGTCTTTCAACATATAAGAAACATAATTCCTAATGACAATGTCTTTCCTAATAATGGTGTGAAGAAATCACTATTAAATTCAGAGTGTTTTTCAAAATTCCAAATTAAGTGGTGGTATGCTGTAAATCACTCATCTTCGACAGGCTTTCAAAACATTTTCTCAAGGTTAAATTATAGTTTTTAATATGACAGCATATAGGAATGTTGTTGTACACTGAAGCGATGGGGTTTCTGGTGAAGCAAACAGTTCAGAGGTTCATGTTTGAATTTCTTTTCTCAAGGTGGACAGAGCTGACAACAGTTTTATGAGCTCTTCCGAATTTTTGGAAAGCAAAGCACTTGAGAGAGGGGACATGGGTTTCTATGGGTCAATTTATTTCTGAAACCACAAACCAGTCTACCTGTGCAAATAAGCCTCCTGTTGACTAGAGTACGAGGAGTTCATAGCCGTTTCCAGCTCTGGCAGTTGGTCCAGCCAGCCAGCATCGGCATGACTCACACACACCCCTGCCATTACTGCTGCTCTTATCATTTGCCAATCCCTATTGGCTAGAAAGTCTTCTTTGTACAGCAGAGAAGAGGGGAAAGGAAGGCATGCCTATTCATATTTTACAATCTCCTTATTTCTCTTCTTTCTGTGTGAGGTAACCAGTTGCCATTGTGGATTGCATGTAAAAGCTGTTGGAATGGGGCTCTTGGACCCACTAGTTACTACAGCCAACATAGAAGCCTTATACTGTAATGACTAACGTGCTCACTGTCTCTGTTCTGAGACAGAATATGAACCTACCAATGGGCAATAAAAGAGTGGAATGCCTATGTAAATTGGGAATTGGGAATATGTGGCTGGACAGATGTTCTTGCACTCTAGCCACCATGTCTCTTTATCGCAGGTTATGATGGCCTGGGTTTATGGGAATATCTAGGGAACCACATGTTCTCACATGCTCTAGCAGCATACAAAGCCTGTCCTAGTGAGTACAGCTTGCAGGTTCTTTGGGTTGCTTGCAGCAAAGTCCAACAGACTGCCAGGAGATGATCTAATGATTATTGGCTTCAGCTCTGCTCTCAGATACAGACAGCAGCGGACACAGGTAACACCAAGGGAATGTATGAGGGTATCAAGCAGGCTGTAGGTCCAATACAGAACAAATCTGCTCCCTTGATGTCTGCTACAGGAGTGAGCATCCAGGACCGAGCACAGCAGATGGAACACTGGGTGCAGCACTACTCTGAGCTATGTTCTAGAGAGAATGCAGTAACCAAAGAGACATTAAATAACATTGAGTGCCTGCCTGTAATGGAAGAGTTTGACAGCGAACCAACTTTAGCAGAAATAAAAGCGGCCTTGGATTCCCTCGCCTCTGGCAAGGCACCTGAGAAGGATAACATCCCTGCTGAAGAGACCACCACCACTGAGCTGTATGAAATCTTTTGTCTTTGCTGGAGGGAAGGTGGAGTACCACAGGTTTGGCTTCAGGACATGAAGGATGCAAACATTGTCACATTGTATAAGAACAAAGGTGACAGGGGCAACTGCATCTCTCTTCTCAGCATTGTAGGGAAGCTGCTTGCCCAGGTTGTGCTGAAGAGGCTCCAGGCGCTTGCACACAAAGTCTATCCAGAATCACAGTGCAGATTTCGAGCTAATAGTTCTACCATTGACATGGTATTTCCCCTCAGACAGTTGCAGGAGAAATGTAGGGAACAACGACAGCCACTTTTTGTGGCCTTCATAGATCTCACAAAGACCTTTGATTTGGTTAGCAGGGATGGCCTTTATAAAATACTTCCCAAGATTGGATGTCCACCTCGACTACTTAACATCATCAGGTCCTTTCATGAGGGAAAGAAGGGCACTGTAGTTTTTGGTGGCTTAACATCAGATCCCTTTGACATCCAAGGCAGAGTGAAAAAGGACTGTGTCCTCACGCAAACTCTGTTTGGGATCTTTTTTGCTGTCATGCTGAAGCACGCCTTTGGAACTGCAACAGAAGGTGTCTATCTCCAGACTAGATCAGATGGCAAACTCTTTAATCTCTCCAGATTGACTGAAGACCAAAGTCCAGCTGAAATGCATGTGGGACTTCCTCTTTGGCA